TTACGTTCACTGGTAGGTTTTGTACCCCGCAAGAAATATACCATAGTAAAATCCAAGACAGGTTAAGGACTTTGCCTTTCCATTGTCAAGAGGAGGAAGGGCTAATATGAAGGGGAGGGTGTGGAAAAAGAAAATCTATATGATCTCAGGAAAGAGTGGTGTGGTTGTTGCTATAGAAATTGATTTCCTTGGAACTGTTAATGTCAATGTACACCTCAGAAAGTCAGGGGTACAGGTGCCCAGCCACAAGACCACCGGACTGATGACTGTTGTGCTTAGGATGAGACTCTAAGTGATGAGTTAGGAAAGCAACAATCCAACATACATACTTCAAAATTGGCCTCAGGATGGTGAATGAAAAAAGAAATAAAAGAGATGAGAAAATTTATTTATTATAATTCACTGTGATTATCTAACTTGTAGTGAGAGAGGAAAAGGTGCTCTTAGAGCGCTGTCAGCATGCTGCAGAGCACTGCGTTTCTGCTACCTGCCCAGAAAGCTGGATTGGATTTGGAAGTAAATGTTTTTACTTTTCTGAAGACACAAGGAATTGGACATTCAGTCAAACTTTCTGTACCTCACTAGAAGCCCACCTTGCTCGGTTTGAAACTCTGGAGGAACTGGTAAGAAATATTTTTGGGTCATGTGTTCTGTTGCATACTTGGTTCCGAGGTGGGTCAGTTGCTGGGGCTAAAGCTGAAATATGAGGAAGGATCGATCTCATTTCAGGCAGAATTTGGGGCATGAGAGTGTCTAACATTAGCTGAGGGTATATTCTCTTCCTAGATCCCTGTGAGACATTTTAGATATATTTTCTCATGTAATCTTCATAGTTAACCTGCAAAATTAGATGTATTGTTCTCATTCTAGTAAGAAATATGGTATTCATATAATTTGTCATTGAAATTGGGACATTTTGGGTGTTGAAAGTGGGTGTTAATTATGATGGAATGACAGACATAAACTGGGACTTTCCCGATCATACAGGGATATATTGTCGTTTTAAATAAAGTAATTTAGGATCAGAGACATTTGACTTTGAAAATTGGGAAGCAGTCTAACTCCAAAGTCTATGCTTGTCAGTTATACCATGCTGCCTTCCAAAACGAGAAGGCTAAAGGGAAAAGAAACTCAAGAGCAGTATGAAAGAAACCTGTTATTATTTTCTGTGTTCTACAATAGAATTTCCTGAAAAGATACAAAGGCCCTTCTGACCATTGGATTGGCCTTAGCAGAGAATCAGCACATCACGTTTGGAAGTGGACAGACAACACTGACTATGGTACCTCGTACGTTTTGAAACTTCCTTTCCTTCTACTGTGCTTATGTGTGGTTATGTGTGTGAGTGTGTTTATGAGATGAGAAATATAATATGGAAGCTTATGAGGTAAAACATGTAAATCTTCTTCGTGCTTTCATTTTTTTTAGCTGTACCCTTGGGAAACTTATTCTGATTTCAGTTGAAATCTTTAACATGATGGTGACATTTGACACAGTTCTTGCACTTTGGTCCACTGATTTAAAGCTTTTCTTTGCTGAAAAGCCTATTTAGAATGTAGACAGAACAGCTGATTTACAGCAAGGGTTCTACAATCCTGGGAAGCCACTGAGGAACTGATATCCACAAGGCTCTTAAGTCCACTCTTGCAGCAGCTGCATCCATTCATATTAAGAAAAAGAAAGTCTCCAGGGAACCTATAGGCCTCTCTCCCGAAGTTTTATCACCAGAAGGAAACCTAGTGGACTGTGAACATTTTAATGCGGTATTTTGATTATAACCATTACATTGGAGCAGATAAAATGTAGGGACCCAATCATTTCCATTAACCAAAGCTAATAAGCCCTTTTAGGAATTTACTAGGTAAGTAAATATTTTTAGTTTCACATATTTATGAAATAGTTCAGGAGAAGGCTGAAAACAGTTTTCACTGAAGGCTGCTGATGGCAGCAGTTCATTTGGGTACAACAGCAAGCACCAGTTAAATACCTAATCAACAGCATAACTGGATTTGGTATGGATGAATGATAAACTTGGGATTTTCAAGCAAGGACCCTGATAACATAAAGGAAACTAAATAGAGAAATGGTGTTTATTACTAAGAA